GCACATCAAAACCACAATGAGATATCACTGATCTCCAATAAGAATGGCCTTTATCAAAAAGTCCCAAAACAATAAATGTTGGCGTGGATGCGGAGAGACAGGAACACTCCTACACTGCTGGTGGGACTGCAAACTAGTTCAACCTCTATGGAAAGCAATATGGAGATACCTTAAAGAGATACAAGTAGATCTACCATTTGATCCAGCAATCCCACTATTGGGCATCTACCCAAAAGAACAAAGGACAATCTACAAAAAAGACACCTGTACTCAAATGTTTATAGCAGCACAATTCACAATCACAAAGCTGTGGAAACAACCCAAGTGCCCATCAATACATGAGTGGATTAATAAAATGTGGTATATGTATACCATGGAGTACTATTCAGTTCTAAGAAACAATGGTGATCTAGCACCTCTTGTATTTTCCCGGTTAGAGCTGGAACCCATACTACTAAGTGAAGTATCCCAAGAATGGAAAAACAAGCACCACGTATACTCATCAGCAAATTGGTATTAACTGATCACCTAAGTGGACACATAAGAATACATTATTGGGTATTGGGCAGATGGGAGGGGGGAGAAGGGGGCGGGTATATACATACATAATGAGTGAGATGTGCACCGTCTGGGGGATGGTCACACTTGAAGCTTGGACTTGTGGGGGGAGAGGGGTCAAGGGCATTATTCGAAACCTTAAAATTTGTACCCCCATAATATGCTGAAATAAAAAAATTAAAAGGTGATAACCCATGGGAAAAAAAAAAAAGAACAAGGCCAGCAGAGTTGCAGTCCCTTCTTGAGGGTCTTAGGAAGAATCTGTTTCCTTGCCCTTTCTAGCCTCTAGAGGCCACCCACATTCCTCACCTGTGGTCCTCTTCTCTCATCTTTAAAGCAAGAAATGGTGCATCTCTCTATGCCTTTCTCCCATATTCATATCTCCCCATGATTCTCTCTTTTGCCTCCCTCTTCCACTTTTAAGGATCCTTGGTACCACCTGAATAATCCAAGATAATCTCCTATTTTAAGGTCAACTGTGTAGCAACCATAATTTCATCTTTGACCTTAATTACCCTTTGCCATGTAACCCAATATATTCACAGGTTCTAGGGATTAGGGCCTGGAAGTCCTTGGGGGCTGTTATCAGGTAGGCCCTCTTATAGAAATAAAATTCCCTTGACTCCAGAATCTAGTCTGGCCAATGTTCTAATTCTCTATTCATGTTCACTGTCAAAATTCTTGGAGGAGTTATCTTTAGTCTTTATTCCTACTTCCACACTTACTATTTTTTCTTTAATAATTTCCAAATTGTCTGTAGTTCTCACCACTCCACTTACCATTCACCACTCTTGTCAAAATTATCAACAAGCTTCATGTTGACAAACCCAGTGCTGATATCATTTTTTTATCCTCTTAACCTCTCTGCATTATTTGGCACAAACAACAACTCTCTCTTTCTTCTAACTCTTTGTTTAATCATCAAAAAGGTTTTTTTGTTCTTCAAGTTCACTAGGTGCTCCTTCTCTGCCTCCTTTACCCACTCCTACTCTTCTGCTTAACATCTAAAAGCTAAGATTTTCCCAGGACTTTGCCATTGGCCCTCTTTTCTTCTCAGCCCACACTTTCTCACTTTGTGATTCTGTGGAATCCCATGGTTTTAGGAATCACTCCTAAAATTTATATTTCAAAATAACCTTTTCCTACCTAAACCTGAGACTCTCATATCCCATTTACCAATTTGACATCTCCATGTGTATGTCTAATAATCCTCTCAAAATGAACATGGCCAGACAAAACTTTCCATCTACTTTTCCATCTGCCTCACCTTATTTCTCTCTCATTTCTTCTCCAACTTGGTAAATGATCTCACCATCCATCCAGCTATTTAGGCAAAAACCTAGAAGGCTTCCTTAATACATCTCTTTCTCTTACCCCATAAATCCAGTCTCTCATCCTTTCAGCTTCCATTCCAAAATATATTCAATCCTCACAAGGAAACAGAATGATCTTCTCAAAATATAATCAGACCATATCAGTCACTCCCCGGCTCTCAACCCTCCATAACTTCTTATTTCACTTAAAATCTATACTCCTTACAATGGCCTTTAAGACCTTGTATGATCTGACTCCTGCTTCACCTTTGACTTTGATTCAAATGACTCTCGCCCTTTCTCATTAAGCTCAGCTTTTTGTCTGTTCCTAAAATATTTGAAGTTCATTCCCACCTTAGTGCTTCTGTGTTGTCCAGAGCCCTCCTCTGCCCTAGATCTAGCCATACCTATCATTGAGGTCTCAGCTCAACTGTCACCTCCCCAGAAAGGCCTTCCCTGATCACCCGATGTAAAAAGCCAAATTGTCCACCCCAAACCTTAGTCACACTGTGTACTGGCCTGTTTTATAGTATTCATAATACTTGTCACTATTGGAAATTATCCATATGTGTTTATTGACAGTGCCTCCCACCCTAGAATATAAACATAATGAAACAGACATCTTGCCTATTGTTTTCACAGTTGTATCCACAACACCAGTAACTCCCAATCAACATTAGGCATTCAGCTTACTCTGAGTTCTGCAGACAGATTTGGAAAGGTCTACAAATCAAGCAAGAAAAAAAAGTTCATTTTTCCCTTCAGTTTCTTCCTATTGGTTTAACATTTGTCTGAATGCAAAAAAAAATTTAAAAAAATTTATAACGTCAAATTGTGATTTAACCGACTACTAACAGTCAGGTAGCCTACAATTTCCATGTTATGTTATCTGTCTATTGTTAGGAATTTCACATATGATGCCATTAGAGTAATGGGCATCTGCCTTTGTCTACATCATGCATAACTTAAATTGGAAAATATCAAAGAAAAGAAGGTACTGTAAAGGCAGGTAGAGTTGTGGTAGTCAAGAGTAGGAGCTTAAATTATGCTCCTTGTGTTCACATTGTGCTCAGGCACTTCCAAGTCATGTGACCTTGGATAAGTTATTTAATCTCTCTGCCACAATGTTTACCTCGCAGGATTACTGGAGTAGTAAGTGAGATTTTCTTCTTGATTTTGCTTTTGACATAATCACCGAATATACCGAGACGCAAAAGCCACAGCGTTTTTTTTTAATGTAGAAAGATTTTTGCCAAGAAAAATCTGATTTCAACAAAGCTAAACGAATATCTTCTATCTTGTAAAGAAGATTTCCTTATGATTGCAGAACAAGGGGAAATGTCTTAAGACATAAAAGCACAAAGATTGAACAATTTGACAATGTGGAAAAAAAATGATGATAAACAAAGTAAAAAGTCAAGCCATGGGTTGAGAGTAGAAATATGCATGACATGTAATATAAAAAGAATCATCCAGAATATTGAAAGAATTATGACAAATCATTAAGAGAAAAAGACAACTATGTTTTTAAAATGATCTAAGATTACAGTTCAGTTTTATATATATAAAAAAAAATGATCTAAGAATATAAATAGTCAATTCATAGCAGAAAAAACTAAATGGCAGATAAACATAGGAAAATACACGAAAAAAGAAAATAGCAAAATAAAACAAAAGTATCATTTTATAAGTATCATATTGTCAGATGTTAATGTCTGATAATGCCAAGAGATGGTGGAAAGGTGGAGGAAAACTCTTAGCATTGAATACAAATTGAACCAACCATTTTTGAAAAAATTTTGGCAATACCTGGTTAAGTTGAAGATGTAATTTTCCAACAACCCAACAACTACATTCTTAGATATCTACCCTAGAGAAACTCAGATATGTACACAGCAATACATGGACATAAATATTTATTATATCACTAATTGTAACAGTGAAGAAGTTAAAAAACTACTGGCAGTTAGTAGTAGAGTGGATATATAAATTATCATTTTTTAATTTTTTTGATACAGAGTCCCACTCTGTTGCCCAGGCTAGAGTGCCATGGTGTCAGCCTAGCTCACAGCAACCTCAAACTCCTGGGCTCAAGCAATCCTTCTGCCTCAGCCTCCCGAGTAGCTGGGACCACAGGTGTGCACCACCATGCCCGGCTAATTTTTTCTATATATTTTTAGTTGGCCAATTAATTTCTTTCTATTTTTAGTAGAGACGGGGTCTCCCTCTTGCTCAGGCTGGTTTCGAACTCCTGACCTTGAGCAATCCTCCCACCTCGGCCTCCCAGAGTGCTGGGATTACAGGTGTGAGCCACCGTGCCCAGCCCTAAATTATCATTTTTTAATATAATGGAATATTTTATAGCATCTCAGAAACTTCTGCAAAAACCAGTTTTAAATGGATATGGGAAGGATGATACTGTTCAACCATTTATATAAGTTTCTAAAAATGAGCAAATAATATGTATATTATTGACAGGTACATACTTCTGTAATAAAAACACAAGCACGCCAAATTCAGTTTATCAATTACTTCTCAGGACAGATAGAGGGGAAAAGGTATAGGAGCTATAATGTTACTGTTATTTATGGTGTTTTATTTCTTTAAAAAGAAGGAGATCTAAGAGAAATGTTAAATGCTAACATTTGTTAAATCTGAGTGGGGTGTACATAAACTATTTGTTATATTATCTTCTGTACTTTTGTATATTTGAAATACTATATATCAAAATTTAACATAATTTTTTTAAAAGAAAATACCTGGACTTATATAAATCTTTTCATAAGAAAGAGTTTTATCTTAAAAGACTGCAACTTTAAGAAAATTGGAATTGTCCCAACTTTTCTTGGGGAAGCCTAAAAATGTCCTTATTTTTCTGACAAGCAAAAACCCCACAAAATTGGAGAAAACTTAATGAAGCCACATACCCTGAAAATATCTGAAATAGTTTATGAGTTAGGGCAAAAGAAGAAAACTGAAGCCATGCCAATTTCAAAAGGCATGATCCCCTTCAGAATCGCTGATCTTTCTTATAATGTCACTGATCTCTCTTCTAATATCTGGAACCGGATTCCTAAACTGTCTCTTAAACCACTCTACGTCAACAGGCAAATGGCTGGACGCCTTTCATTTTAACCAGCTCTTCATTATCGCTCTTTATTTGTACACTGGTGCCACTGAAGAAGTATTCCAATTGTTCTAATTCCCTTTTGGAAACCTGACAAGCCATTGTCATTTTCAAAATAGGGAAAAATGTCTCTGTCAAGGAGAACTTTGTGTAAACAGAATGTTTTGGTTCTCTGGGTCCAGATGCAGCGCCTGAAAAGCTCAGTAACACACCTGGTCTGGCGGCTGTGCTGCAGACACTCCATAGATCGTTGTGATTCATTGCTCTTACCATCAACAGGAATTCGGCTGTGCCAGCAATTCTGAAAGGAGTCTTGTCTACTGCTGTGAAAGTCATCAACTTTATCAGAGCCCAGTCCTGACCTCAGCCTTTTCAGGAAATTTTGTCTAGAAAAAAGATCAGAGTAGAAAGCTTCTGTCTATTATAGTCCATTGTAGTCCTCTGACTTTCCAAGAAACATTAAATTCCAATTAAAGAATGTGATTGAACTTCATGGGAGGAGGGGCAGAGTGACCTGCTCAAAACAATTTAGGAGTTCTTTCATGGTTTTGTTACATTGTTGATATTTTTGATCATGAGACTAAAGTAAATCTTTTGATTCAAGATCCTACACGGAGCATTATGGATGCTGCTAAAAGAAATTATCAACTCTTACAGTTCAGCCACTGTTTCAGGAAATGGAGCTGGGATATAAATTATCCAGTGTGGAGGAAGGACTTTCTGTGGTTATGAAGCCCATTGGGAAAGTCTTAGTTTCTTTGCAAGCAGAAATCTTCAAAACCTACAAACACCACAGAATTCTTTTGAATGTTACTTCTGCTCAGATGATTCATGTTTAAAATTTTTTTTGTTTTTGAGACAGAGTCTCACTTTGTTGGCCAAGGTAGAGTGTGTGCCATGGCAGCAGCCTAGCTCACAGCAACCTCAAAATCCTGGGCTCAAGCAATCCTTCTGCCTCTGCCTCCCGAGTAGCTGGGACTACAGGCCACCATGCCCGGCTAATTTTTTCTATATATATTAGTTGGCCAATTAATTTCTTTTTATTTATAGTAGAGACAGGGTCTCGCTCTTGCTCAGGCTGGTTTCGAACTCCTGACCTTGAGCAATCCACCCGCCTGGGCCTCCCAGAGTGCTAGGATTACAGGTGTGAGCCACTGTGCCCGGCCCAATGTTTAAAATTAAATATGGATTCATCATCCTGTTTGGCCCACAAAAAGTTTCAAGATGTATACCTCACCGAAGATGGTTTCAGTAGTTTACAATGGTGATGATGGGACATGAATTCCATTCAGTCTTGAAGTATTAACCTATATGAATCAATATTTTCAGTACTTCTTGTCCTGAAAAATAAAAATGAAATCAACTGGATGACACAGATGATAGAACCCAACTTCTTATTCAAGTAGAAAGCAGTATTTCACTGGAATTTACAATTGAGCAAAGTTAAGGTTGCCTTTTATTTTATTGACACACTTGGATTTAATTCAAATTACTGAAGATAATATTTTGTATCATAATTATAGCAGTAATTTCTTGATTACTACAAGCTGGGCACTATACAAATCACTTTATATATAGTGTCTAATTTAACCCTTTAAATAGTGTTATGAAACAAGGATTAATATTACTTTCCCTTTACAGATCAGAAAACCGAGGCATAGAGAAATTAAGTAACTTGCCCAGTGTTATTCCACTAGCACATGGTAAGGCCAAATATTTCAGCACATCTGTCTGATTCCAGAGTACATCCTTAGATTACATATCAAAAGAATTCATTTTCAATGAAATAAAATACACTGCAAACAGCTCAGTTTCTGTGCATTTTTCTGTGAAAGATTTGTTTTGATTTCATCAAAATTTTAGGGCTTCATAATCAGTAAAAGACTACAGTCACCCTACTAGACAAACCACATAATTTATGCTCCTTAAGGAGCCTCTTTCTATCTTTCTCTTTCTCACTCTCTCTTTGAATTACAGTGTCTGGCATACAGCAGGTGCTCTATGTGTAAATATTTGTCCAATGCTACACAGTCAGGATGGCTGTCCTGAGGTTCCCCCAGAAATAAGCTCACCATCTGCCATGGCTTTACCTGGGAGGTGAGGCAGATTGGGGCAGGGAAGTAATCCTTTGGGTATGTTGTATATGTACCATAGCCAGTGTTTGATCCTTAGTCTTGCAGATTCAGAACTTTGATTTTATCAGCATTGATGTCTCAGGGACAGTCACATTAATATAGCCATTTTACCTGATGTATAAGAGCCAAATAACTCACTAATTTATAATGAAATATGAATTTCAGAAACATAGGATTGTTAAAGTCATAATGATCAGCATATATTCTCCAAGAAGGCAGACCTACATGGCAGTAAAAGCATAACTGGAACTTTATTTGGTAAATATGAAAAATGAACATGAGGGGTTTGTTAGAGGAATCCAGTGTTTATTGGACTCAGCCAAGAGAACCTAAGGCATCCATCTGCACACTTACGGAGAATCCTGCCAAAGTGAACTGAACAGAATGGCTTTTCCAAGGACCTTTGCAATCCGTTTGCTAAGGAGGCCAACTAACCCTGCTACTGAAGGACACATTTATTCTTTGTACATGCTAATGATTTTAGTCTGATTATGGTCATGTTTTATTGGTCAGCGCTCTTTCAGATGAATTTGTATATCTCTGCAAAATCCATTTTTTTGAACTTTTTAAAGTTTAATTCTCCCAGGGCAATTTTATTGGTGGGCATTCTACTATAAATTTAATGTACTAATGACTAACATTCTCAAAGGCCACTCAAAAGAGGTCTAATCCCTTTAGAATAATTTTCCATTAGAAATTGTTCCTAATTTTAAAGTCAACGTATAAGCTACATGAAGAAAACAATTATAGTCGTTCACTCAGCAAATGTTTTGGGGGCATGCCAATTGTGTGCAGGATTGTTCTATGCAAGTAACTGTTCTAGAAGGTACAAGTACAAAGATGAATGATAGGCCGGGCCTGGTGGCTACTGCCTGTAACCCTAGTATTCTGGGAGGTTGAAGCTGGAGGATCGCTTGACCTCAGGAGTTTGAGACCTGCCTGAGCAAGAGCAAGACCCCGTTTCCACTAAAAATAGAAAAATTAGCCAGGCATTGTGGGGCACCCCTGCTCCCGTAGTCCCAGCTATTGGGGAGGCTGAGGCAGGAGAATCGCTTGAGCCCAGGAGTTTGAGGTTGCTGTGAGCTATGATGATGCCACTGCACTCTAGAAGTTAAAGAGCCGCTGTATGGATCTAAAGGAGGCACAAACAGAGAGAGTCAGAGACAGAGATAGAGAGAAGGGCAGGGGAAGCACCGTGTTCCCTTACTCGTCCAGTAGCATTCTGTCGGATGATTATACCACAATTTGTTCAATCAGTTCCTTTGTAATGAATATTTACACTATTTCTAATATTTTACTGTTATAGTGATGCAATCCCTGTCAACATGTCATTTGACACATCTAAGAGCATGTTTGTAGGTCAAATTCCTAGAAGTGGAATTGCCATTTCAATGGGTCTGTGCAATTTTAATTTTAACAGATATTGCCAAATTGCTCTCTGAAGAGTGCCAGTTTACTCCTTTCAGCAATGTACTAGGGCCACATTCTCATCAACACAGTGTATTGTCAAGAATTGTGACGTTTGCCTATGGGTGAGTAAAACATGAAACCAAATTGCATTTCACTTTTGATGATTGAAGTCGAGTGTCTTCTCAAGTGTTTAAAGGTCGTTTTTATTTTCTGTAAGCTTTCTGTTCGTATCCTTTGCTAAATTTTCATGTGTGTTTGTGTCTGGGGGAGGGGGTGGTTTTGTTTCCTTTTTTTCATTTTTGATTTATAGAACCTCTGCTTAGTAAAAAATTCAACCCTTTCGCATGTGAGCAGTAAATATTTTCCCCAATTTGTCAGTTCTCTTTTCACTGGGTCTACAATGCATGCAGAAAATTTGTATTGTTTTGTAGTCCAATTTAACTGTCACTTTAATGGCTTCAGAAATTATTTTTTAAAATTTCCTGTGTTTTTTCTAGTACTTTTACAGTTAGTTTTTAACATTTAAATACTTAATTCACCTGGAATGAAATTTTTCACAATAAGAATAGAAAAGGGGTACGAGATCCAAGTGACCTAGTAGTACACTAATTCATCAGTCCTTAATTAGCCAAAATTTGGTCTTTGTTTAGAGACTATTTTTTTCTCAAACTTATAAAAATCTGGCCCCTACTTGTCTAATCTATCAATACTCGATATTTCCTGGCTAGAAAAAATGCTTTGGGATTGTGCAAAAGCTTTCATTTTTATCCTCCACAATGCTTTAAACATAACACATATAAAAATAAATCTGTTGAATGAGTGAGTGTTAGGTAATTAGCACACCCTGTGTGATTTTATATTAGCTATATGTTGCAATGTCTGTTGAACCAAGGAAAGACTTTAGTTAGCCTGACAAATGCATAAGCTTTTAAAAAAGATGATAATGTAGATTGTTTCAAAATGTCATATTACTATAAAATATCATGTTCATGGATTACTAACAATTGGATTTATACTCAAACTTTATCAATCATTATAGGAAAAATTTACTCTATCTTCTACCATTTTTTAAACTTTCCTTTTAAAACACCCAAAAGATACAGTAACCCTCTAAATCTGTCATTTATTAACAGCAATTAAGTTGAGGTAAGGACATTGTGAAAGCCCCAAATTACTGACTCAGATACTTTAGTCTCTGATTTTTCTGTCCTGTTACAATAGTGGAAAGAGCTAAGTAACTTATGTACTACTCTACATGTGATAGGACAAAAGTAAGAAAATTTTAATAGTCTGGAAAAGGTTTGTCAAACAACCCCTTTGGTTTAGTTCTCTAAACTCTCTAGCTATTCATTTGATATGAGCTATTGCAAAGAAAAGGCCTTAATCCTAGAAATGCAAATAATAGATAATTCATCTTCAAGTTAATTGGTAGGCACTTAATAAACGATGTTAAATGAATGAATAAACTTAATAAAGCTTTCTTTTTGGACTTATCACCTTTTGGACTTATCACCTACCTACCTAGCTATGGAACTCAGAATTAGTAGATTCAACTATTGATATATGACTAAGAAGAAATGTTTCATAAAACTTACCCAACATTTTTATTTGAAATAAGAAAATGTTCATACTTATATTCTGAGACATTTTAAATATTTTAGAATTTCAACAAAATTAAGAAATAAGATGAAAGAAAATAAAGTTTTTTCTATTGTGTAGTACTTCGATGTTGGTTTGTCCTCAACATTCACTTAAATTAATCACTTATCCACTAAGGGGAATCCTAGAATCAGAGAAAGCAGCATAAGACATCCCCTAACACCAGACTCACAAATTGGTGACTTGCAGGTCCCAGATAGGTTTTTCTTGACTAGCACATAAATTTTATGTTTTGTTGTGTAAGTATGATTTTGAATCCTTTACAAGGATCACACATTTGACAGTTCTGTAGATTCCTAAGCTCTATAATATCTCCTAGGTTTTTCACCCAGCTGCTTCAAATGTTTTGTCCTACTTGCTTGGTCCCCATGGTTAATTGAGAAATTAATTCTAGTCCAACACGTCACTTTACAGATTAGACCCAGAGTAGTTAAGTAGATCTGATGTGTTAATGTTAAAAGTCTACTTAGAGCAGAGTTTTAAAGTAAGGCACGGATTCTTGGGTCTTGAGGGGATTTCTAGAGCTATCGGAGGCTGGTTTCTCACATCATTATATATGGCAATGGCCAGTGTGCTAGGCTCTTTCAGGTTGCCAGGGAGAGCTTTATACTCAGAGTCTGTCTGTCTGGTGGTGGAGATTTATTGAAAGGACATGAGAAAGTGAGGAAGAAAAGAAACCATGGCAGCAATTGAAAGACCAGGCTTCAGGAACTAAAGCTTAGTGTAAAATACAACAGCAGATTTTGCAATCTTCTATTCTCACAACTTACGAGCTCCTCTGTTTCTCTCTCCACTTTTCCTTCCTAGGTCACTGCTTCCTGTCTCCTGGTATATATTGCATAAAAATCCAGGAGAACAAAGATCTGATAGATTCAATTATCATCATACAGTATCACTTTCCTCCATGGGTTAATTCTCACCTCAAGTTCCTGGCTCTCCTGTAGATCAGCATTTATCAAGTATTTTGACCACACTGTGCAGTAATAAATATGTTTTACATGTGATCTGATGCATACATGTGTAATCTTTCTTAAGATAATACTTAACCAAGCTATATGTTTTACACATTGGTATTTTCTGTTCTTAATCGGTTTTTTTCCTATCCTATTCTACTCTGTTCATTTACAAAACTGCTTGTTGTGACATACTGAATTGATTTTATAACCGCAAATCTGTAAAACAACGCTATAGATGAGTGCTTCTCAAACTTTAGTATGCACCCAAATCACCTAGGGATGTTGTTAAAAATGCAGATTCTGATTGAGTAGGTCTGAGATCATGTGTTTCTAACAAACCTGTGGGTGATGTTGATGCTCCTGGTCTGTGGACCACATTTGGCGAAGTAAGTCTACAGATAATTTGCCTTTGGTTCTTGCGGCCCAATCCCCGGTTTAATGGGTCACGGCAAAGGTCTTAGAGTCTTTGGCCACTTTGTTGAGAAAAAGCTATGGCCGTGGTAGGCATCTGGAGCAGCATGGACTCTTACCTAGTACAGCAACATTTAGTTCAGATCTTAAACATAATAGCATTTGTTTAATAAATATTTATTTTTGAAACCATACTATATGCAGGCCCAATTCCAAGATAAGTCTTTCTCTTTTATCTTACATTTTAATGGGGTGAACAATTAAATCTGTAATTTCAACTTATGATAAATGCAATAAAGAGAATAAGACAGGGAGAGGGAAAGATAATGGAAGCATGGGGCATTGGATGTCTTAGATTAGTTTTTTAGGCAATGCCTCACTGGGTCAGTGACATTTGACAGAGACCTGAATGAAGGGAGAGAACTTTGGGAAGATTTGGAGGAAGGATAGTCAGCAAGAGAGTCCTGAGGTGGGAAAAATAATGGAGATGTTTGAGGGTTCAGCAAGAAGGCAAGTCTGACTAGAGAGGAGTGAGAGAGGAGTAAAGGATCGGGTCATTAAGTAAGCAGCTTTGATCATGGAGGACCTTACAGGCTGGGGTAAGTTTGGATTTTATCGTAAAGGTAATTGGAAACACTGGAGTGTTTTGATTAGGGAAATGACCTGATTTGTTAGTTTTAAATGATCACTCTTATGAATATGTGGTAAATACACTATAGAAGAACAAGAGTAGAAGGATGGAGACTGGTTAGGGTGTTACAACAATAGATCACATTGACTCATTGTGCCCACTGATTGGATTGTGCCAATTTTTCTTTTCCTTTTTCTTTTTTTTTTTTGAGACAGACTCTCACTTTCTTGCCTAGGCTAGAGTGAGTGCCGTGGCGTCAGCCTAGCTCACAGCAACCTCAAACTCCTGGGCTCAAGCAATCCTCCTGCCTCAGCCTCCCAAGTAGCTGGGACTACAGGCACGAGCCACCATGCCCGGCTGATTTTTATACTATATATATTAGTTGGCCAATTAATTTCTTTCTATTTTTATGGTAGAGACGGGGTCTCGCTCAGGCTGGTTTTGAACTCCTGACCTTGAGCAATCCGCCCGCCTCGGCCTCCCAGAGTGTTAGGATTACAGGCGTGAGCCACCGCGCCCGGCCCTTTTTTCTTTTTCCTAGACACAGGGTCTCACTCTTTTGCTCAGGCTGGAGTGCTGAGGTGCTATCACAGCTTACTATAACCTTGAACTCCTGGGCTTCAGCAATCCTCCTGCCTCAGCCTCCTGAGTAGCTAGGACTACCGGTACACACCACTATGCCCTGCTAATTCAATTTACCTTTTACAATAGGGGATAAATTGAAGTACTTTATACTACTGAAGTACTAGAAGATCGAAAATATAAATGTATTTATTTATATTAAGAGCTTTTGTTGGCCAGGTGTGGTGGCTCATGCCTATAATCCTAGCACTCTGGGAGGCCGAAGCAGAAGGAGCCCAGGAGTTTGAGGTTACAGTAAAGCTACAATGACACCATCACACTTTACCTGAGATAACACAGCAAGACGTTGTCTCAAAAAAAAAAGAGCTTTTATTGATAACTGACATCTAGCAATACAGGATGCCAAATTCAACAAAACATGTTAGTGAAAAAATATAATAGGTCACCCCATCCTTCCAATAATCCAGATTTCTAGATGAGCTCCAAGCCTGCACAGCATCAGCCTGACCTCCATCCCACAGTGTCTAGATACCAGGGTAGATAATTTCATCTGCCTAGACAAATCAACTGTTCATGTCCTGAGATTGCCTCGAGCAGCAGCACAAGAATGTGGCCCTCCTTCTTGGCCCTCCTATCCAAATCTGATCTTCTTCCTGTATTATTGACCTTATTTCCTTAGTATTTAGTATACTAAACCTAAGATGTCATCATGTTTATGATGTACCATTATTTATTATATCACAGAAAAAGAAACCAACATTGTCAATTAAGTAGACACATCATCAAATACAAGATAGATCTCAATTTCAAAGATGTTAAAATGTAAAAAATAAGTGCTTCTTAATATCTGCAAAATATATACTGTTATCACTATTTACCTAGTCAGAAGCCTAGCGGTAACTGTAGGCTACCTTCTCTCAACTCTTACATCCTATCAATAACTAGCCTCTGGAATTTCTGCTTCCCAAATCTCATAAATTCCTGCCTTATCTTACATTTTAAAAACTCTTATCTGTTCTGGCCTAGATAACTTCATTAACCACTAAGTCATTCTCCATATTAAAAGCAGAATGATATTCCAAAATCTAAATCTGATGATTACATTACTAGATTGAAATGTTTCCTTTTTCTCTAGTTTGCTTCGAGTAAAGTCTAATCTCCTCTTCGTAGCCTAAATATTACAATCTTGTCTCTACCTCCTTTTCAAGTAGGTTTGGGTACATTTTAAAATACAGATGTAAAAATTTTATTCTCTCCTTCTGTAGTGGCTTCTCCTCCCTTTTCTGCCTTGAAAACACCTACATATCCTTCAAGAATTAGCTCAGATGTTGCCTCCTTAGTAAACTTTCTTCGATGCCCTCTGTACCTGCTCACAAAGGATCTAAGTGCTTCTTCCTCTGCAGCAGTTGACTTACAGGCCCCTACTTTAGCCTTCATCAGATTTCACAATTGCTTATGCTTCTGCATTGTGAGCCCCTTACGGTCAAGGAACATATTCTGTATATCGTCACATCCTCAACATATAGCCCTGATCCTGGCACACACAAGCAAGCCCTTAGCAAATGTTTGCCATGAATAAGTAAATGATGTGAAATTGAAAAAGAACCACCCTTGATAAATAAGATGAGATCTAAAAGTTGTAAAATATCCATTACTCCAACTGTGAAAATGGGGTCAGGGCCAAAGAAAAGGCTTGATCCTCCTTGTCTTCCTCAGCCCCCAGAAAGTCCACTGGTATTGGTTGCAGCCCCAGAGCACTGTGGAACCCTGATCTTGGAACCCTTTGTGCCTACAGTATTCCCTGAACCCAGGTTTGTGAGCAGAGCAACCTGGGTGAACACAGAACTTGCAGGGGTGGCTTTTTTGCCAGCCACCTTCATATTCAACAAAAGTCATCTAGATTTATAATCAGTTGATCCATATGCATCCATATTTGAAATTATTTTGGGAATTATCAACCAGCATGTCAAAAGATCATAATTAGTAATTATGATTAGTCAACAATAGTCAAAATTAGTCAACAATACAGTGAGAGAGCAATAGTCCCTGTCAGACTTTTCTATGTAACTGTCCCTTAAGGGAATGGTCAGAAACTAGAAAATTCCAAAGGAAACTTAATAGTTCATTATGTAAACTGTTCCTTAAGTTCTTCCAAGGCCAAGGTGATGATTTCCTTTCCAATTCACATCTTTCTACACCCTCACACCTCATAGAGTACTTGTCGGTAGTGAATACTTGTTGATTTAAAAATGTTGAAAGGAAAAGCTTACTTTGAAAAATTTACCAACTTTATTTTTGCCTTGGGTTTGTTTCTTTCAAACCTGGCTAAATAGCAGGGAAAAATATAAACAATTAGCAAACCACTAAAATCATGACTGGGTTCCTATGGCCCTATGTTATTACAATATAAATATCAAAATAAATGTACAAAGTGATGTTCAAAAGGTAGCAGATCAGAAAGCAATAGGCCTATTGTACGTAGACCCAAATTTCTTATTCGTGTGTGGCATTACTTTAATTGTGTGGTCTACAGAGCTGTGAAAGGTTTGAACAACAAGAGACAGTGTAAGGGCTATTCAAAAGGTCAAGGGACAGGTAAAACAAGTTACATTACATCAAATCATAAAAAATTGCCATTTTATAGTTGATATTCAAAAAATAGTCAATTTAATAAGGTTGAACTTAATCTCAAAAAGAAGTGTCAGTTGGAAAAAAAGTATTTTTAATGTAAAAGATATGTTCATGCCACGTTAGTGCTCAATGTCTTTTTAAGACATTGTAATTGACAAAAATTGTAAGCATATATCACATATATGTTGTTTTGAAATACATACACATTATAGAATGACTAAATCAAACTAATTACTGTGTGCATTATCTCACATACTTATTTTTATGTAATGACAACACTTAAAATCTGCTCTCTTAGCAACTTTCAAGAATACAATACATTGTTATTAACTATAGTCACCATGTGGTACAATATATCCTTGAACTTATTCCCCTATCTAACTGAAATTTTATATCCTTTGACCAATATTTCCCCAACTCCCAAATTTCCCCCCAGTCCCTGGTATTCACCATTCTATTACTCTACTTCCATGATTTCAACTTTTTTAGATTCCACATACAAGTGAGATCATTATTTGTCTTTCTGTACCTGGCTTATTTCACTTAACATAAATAATATCCTCTAGGTTCATCTGTGTTGTTGCAAATGGCAGTATTTCCTTCCTTTTTAAAGGCTAAATAGTACATACCACATTTTCTTTATCCATTCATCATCTGATAGACACTGAAGTTGATTCCATATCTTGGCTATTCTGAAAAATGCTGCAATGAACATGGGAGTGCACATATCTCTTCGATATACTGATTTCATTTCTTTTGGATATATAACCTGTAGTGGGCTGGATTATGTGCTCA